CCATTCCAGCCTCCTACAATTGGCCACCGTTTTGAGCCCCTTTCCCTGATATCAAAATGGAAGCACTCACGTTCATCACATTTGAATCAGGTGGAGCTTAAAATCAATTCAAAGGCAGGTATAGACTTACATATTTTGTTAGGCTTTTGGGGCAGCGTAATGGAAGCTGGATCATTTCTCATTTATTTCTATGAACAAAACAGTTGAACAGTCTTCAAATACCTCACTATTCTTTGTTTTCTTCTGTATGAGTCAGCCAAAATTGTGAATCTGGGTGAGCTCGGTACCATTGTCTCAGGTGAACAGACGTATTCAGGTTTGCCCACACAGCCGAACTGGAGCTTCATGTCATAATTTTAAGAAGAAGACAGTGAAGTTAGCCTCTTCCTCCTTTGATCACCTTTTAACTCTGTTTGCGAAGGTGGACTACAGAAGAAAGAAAAGGGGAGCGGCAGGGACTGAAGGCAAGGGAAGGAGTGAACTTCAGAGACGTTCTCAGCCTCTCTGAAGTAGGGAATGCAGTCCTGGGTCCCCTCCCTGCCCTGTTTCCCCTTAGCCCCACACCCCAAAGCCCACACAGACATGCCCTCCCCATCACCAGACACCGTCCAGTGTGCATTCCCCTTGGTGCCTGATGCATAGCCATACTGTTCAGTGTTCCAAACTTTTTCAGAGTATATGCATTTAGCTCTTTTTCAGGTAGGGAGTTATGGGTAATTTGGCAAAGCAAACACCGTAACTGGTTTCTTACATAACTACAGCTGGCAGCATGGCACTGTGCATTGAAATTAAGCAATGCTCATTCATCCAAGAAGACTTTATACTTTTTCTTTTGTGGTACATTAATGCTCTGGTTTGTTTTTTCCCATTGCAAATATTCTTTTTATTGTTGGCTGACTTAATGATTCTTTGAAGTTAACCTTTACATGTGAAGGGCAGAGTTCCGTTTATCTTTTGAGAGCTTAAGAGGTGTCTCTGGGTGCCTCTAGACTAGAGAATGCTTTTGTAAAGAACTTGAGTGCTTTTAGGTGATAATGAAATAGTGGAGATTGGGAAGGACCTATACTACCTTAGGGATCTAAACTGGTAAAGTGCTTAGAAGTTCAGAGTTACATACAGCCTTTTGAAAAAACTGACATCCTGCTATCCCAGTAGGCTTCTCCAGACTAGTCATCTGACCCAAAAAAGGCCAGCTGAACTATCTTTTTAAGAATAGTGTGCATCTTTCTTTTTCTTCTTCTTTTCTATTAAAAAAAACTTTCAGTCTGTGAGTCTCAAGGCAAGAAGACCTCTGAATGATTCTCTTCTCAACTTCCAAGGCTAGATTCTCTAAAATGTTTTCATACCTTTTTCCGGATTCAGTAGCTGTTAGAAAATGATCCAAGTGTTGCATATTCTAGTTCTCAAATTACAACAATAAAGTTCCCAATGAAAATCCTAGGGTTGCTTAAGAGTATCTTCCCACGTTCCCACTGTGCAATACAAGTGGGGGTTGGGACATTCATCCAATAAAGTTAAATTGGAAAAAGAAGCCATATTTCAAAATTGAATCCACTTTTTTTCTTTAAGAAGAGTTCATTGACCAAGACAGATTTTCAAATATTTTCTCTACTATCCCAAAATGACACCTTGCTTGAGGTTTTCAGGGAATTACCAGGATCAAACAACTTTACATGACTAGTTTCCAGATTTCCCAGAGCCTTGAAACGTCCCTGGAGGCTCATTGCTGTTTAATGCAGTAGACCTTCCTTCTTTTTCTTCGGTAACATTTTCCATCTTAAGAAGGGTCGTCCCATTCAGCCCAGAAGCATGGTGTCTGAGTAGCTGAATAGAATTACTACCAGTGGAAACTATGCTGCAAGGAGGGTCGATAAAGCAGCTGCACAGCCAACCTCGGCTGTTTTTTCCATCCTCCCCAAGCAGAGTTAATTAGCATAGGGAAAATGACTAAGGTGTTGACGTCACCTCTTTCCAGTAGAAACTTACACTCTGTCCCTGTCTGCCTGCAAACATGCAGGACTTGACTCAGGAATTTGCTGGCCAAACAGGATGCTCTGGAAGCTGCACTTTTTTTCCCCGGGGGCTGGACCTCAGTGCTTTAAAAGGGCTGGCTTGAGAAAGAACCCACAGCCTCTTGTAAAGGAACCTCGCTTGGGGCTTGACTTCGTGAGTCTCTAGTGCTTTCACTGTGAGAAATCGAGATGCACTTTAGAAACTTTAACTACAGCTTTAGCTCCCTGATTGCCTGTGTGGCAAACAGTGATATCTTCAGCGAAAGTGAAACCAGGGTAAGGTTTATAATATCATTTTTGAGAGTCCCAAATAATGTTATGTTAATTGGGACAATTAACTGAAATATGTGGGGCAGGTATGTGGCTGTCTTGTGGGTTTTGGGGTTTTTAAATAAATTCACATTACTTTGAGCCTTAAAAATAAAAAGCTATTGCCTGAGGAATTAGCTGTGAAGGAACTTTTAAAGCTTGTGGACCCTGAAAATATCCAGGTCCCTTGACCAGTGAATAAGGCAAAAGTTTTAGCACTGTGTGTTTTTCATTCTCTGAAGGTTGTAAGTAAACTTTTGGAAGGAGGTCTTTTCGGACAGTGAATAAAACATTTCATTTGACAACTAGAGTTCAGAATAATTTGATTTTATCTTAGGAAATACGTATTGTAAAGATAGTTGTAGTTGTATGTTTGCAGTAATTATAAGGGCCTGTCCTTAAGTTTCTGGATTTCTATAGCTAGAGAAAATGAACCCTAGCAAATAATAAAACCGGATAAATAACTTACATGGGAGATAAATGTACCTTCTGGGAAGCAACTCTCATTGATGCTAATTAGTATAATTGGTCATTTTAATTACTGTGCTTTTCTTCTTCATCTGATTGACATGTAAAATTTTCATCAGTAGCTACCCAAGCTATGGAACTGATCTGTAACAATATTGTATATGAATGAATTCTGTGTGTTCTGTTTGGGAGGTGGTGTTTGTTAATGTACTTTATGCTCCAAGCCATACTGAGATATGTGAAATTTTCTCTCTCTTTTTTTTTTTAAATCAAATTTAACTCCATAATTGTGTATGATTCTTGCAAGCCGGGACTAGATTTTGAACTAGATATTATGTATATCTAGTTCTATGTATAAAATTACTATAAAGTCTATGTGTGTAATGTTGGTCTTACATAAGTAAAATCATTAACTTGATTACTTAATTAAATAGAGATGCCATCCAACAATTATAATAACTAGATATTAGTTATTAGAACAAATAAGAATACCTTACAAGGGAAAAGTATAATGGTAATATGGATTTAACAGATAATGTGCCTTCTCCTGTGTTCTGGTCCTGAGTCCTTTTGTATTCTAAAAATATTCATCGAAGTCATCTCCCTTAAATTCTGAATCATAATTCAAAAGTAAAGAGTTGGTCACAATGCCTGTTGATGAGATCATGCAAAATTCCAAATTTACACAGACACCCTATGCCAGAAACTTGCCCATTCTGGAGAGAGGTGGAGAAAACAGTCATAGGCAGCCAGATGCAACCCGATGGGAAGCTTCTGTTCTGTGTTCTTTCTCATTCTTGCCTCTGCCAAACCCCTCATAGGAAAGTCACAGAAATTCATAAGCTACAGAAAAGCCATGAAATTTGAAGCGAGAAAGTCTGTGAGTTATGCCACTGCCCCTTAACAATGGCAGAGACAGGCTGACCCTTCCTGGCTGGAGCACAGGACTTGTCCCCCTACCTTGCAGGAAGGCCCACCTCATGGAGCAGGCTCGCACCCAGAGGCCGATTCCCTCCCTGCTCCCTCGCCAGGATTCTTGAAAATGCTCTCTTATTCAGAATCCTCTCCCTCCTTTGCAGAAACTCTGTGCTTCCTCTAGGTTTCCTGGGCACTCTCTGGGCCCCACCTCCTCTTCCACATCGGTGTAGAGGGAGCACAGCCCCAGGCCCTGACCCAGCTCCCAGGCACCCTCTTCTGCCTTCTCTGCAGGTTTCCACAGCCTGTCCCCAATGTGTAGTCTGGAAAAAAGACAAGAACTAACAAGCCACTAAAAGGCCATGCAGTGGTTCCTCTAGGTTTTCATGTGCATCAACTGCCTCTCTGATTGGAATCCTGCAGGGCTGCAGTGGCCTCCCAGTTGCCCCCTCCCCAGACTCCCAGCACAGGGTGGGGGTCTCTCTCCAGAGCTTTTCCCAGGAGGCTGATGAGCTCTTCTAAACATGAAATCATGGAACTTGGGCACTTTAACTCTAACAGCTTGTGCCGTTGCCTGATTTTCACTAGACCTGATAACACTAGAGCTGGGTGTGTGCCTGTATTAAAGCCAGTGTGCAGAAATGGGTCCATTTGCAGTACATTAATTTTTAAACCAGTATTATTTTAGAGAGTTAAAAAGTAACAGACTGAGTGGGAAAACAATAGTGGGAATTTTTTAAAAGCTGATTCCTTTACCTAAGAAATGCAAATCTTTTTATTAACTTCATTGTTTTCCAGTGCAGTAAAAATGTTTTGTTTTTTTTTTTCAAATTAGCTCTAGTGCTTTTAAGCCCCAAAGAAATAGTTGATGTACACAACACTGAGGGGTGGGATGGAGTTCACTAACCTGGGGAAGGTCATAACAACTGTCAGGTCAGCAGGTGACAAACCTTCCAACTGGACCTCCTTGGAAAAAGGTCATTCTACTTTAAAGAGATGTTCCTGTGACATTAAGAGGTGTTTAAGTATTGGTAATTATTCCGTTGATTCAGTGAATTCAATAGAGCATACATTCTTACTTCTCATAAAATCACCTGTATTAGAATTAAAAGGGCCACAAAGAGCAGACTCTTCCTGAGAGGAAAGGCCAACTTCTCTCTTCTCTAAGAAAGAAGCTAGGTGTTTTCAAAATGATTAATAACTCATTTCCACAGTTAGAAATGTAATGAAGTCTTCTGGTCAAGAGTCTAATGCAGATGAATTTTAACTCCTTTTATTTTTATTGTTCTTTTTCAGGCCAAATTTGAATCCCTCTTTAGGACATATGACAAGGATATCACCTTTCAGTATTTTAAGAGCTTCAAACGAGTCAGAATCAACTTCAGCAACCCCTTGTCTGCAGCAGATGCCAGACTCCAGCTACATAAGACTGAATTTCTTGGAAAAGAAATGAAGTTATATTTTGCTCAGGTGAGCTGATTTCACTGGTATGCATGCTTCTCCCTCTCACCCTTTTAAAAAGTAGTTTAGGCATTGATTATGTTGTGCTTTGGTATTTTTTATGCATTATGCATCTTAAATTATAATTTCTGAATTGCTAAGTATATAATATTTTGTGTCATACTTTTTTCATCTTACATTATTTGTGATCATTTTACATTACATTTATTTAAAAAGATTATAATAGGCATGTAATATTCTGCCATATAGATATTTCAAACATATTTCACTTATCTTTATTGTTAGACATTTATATTGTTCTCCAGTTTTTTACTATCATTCTACAGTGAACATTCTTGCACCTCCACCCTTTTTAAGCATATTTATTCTGTTCAGTCGAATGTCAAAAGCAACACAGGTTCTCTGAAACAATTCAGATACAAAGTTCCTAAAGTTAAATGGGCATATTCTTCCACTCTCCCTCCAAAACCATCCCCCTCATGTAACCATTGTTGGAAATGTAGTGTGACCCTTACACACATACATATAAAGACATTGTAGGAGTTTTTCCTTCACAAAAAATGGGGTGCCTATGGCCTTCTCTTTAACTTAGCATCTTTTACAGCCTTCCAAGTCAAAATGCACATTACGCATTGATTTAAAACTCCAAAAATTCATCTTGAGAAAGGCAAAATCCATACTCTAAGTTTTCAGTGGCTCACCTATTTTAAGAAAACGTCAGGGTGTACTTGAACATGACTTCAGAAATGGCCCCTGACCTTGGGTTGGAGTAAGGATGGGAGAAAAAATGCCTTTCTGTTCATGTAGGAAGATAGTGGATTGAGGTGTCAGGGGCATGGCCACTCAGGAGCCCTGAGATTTGGGCAGCAGGTTTTCATGAATTTGCTCCAGGCTTAGGGCTAGTGACGTTCCAAACCGAGAGCAGACCATCGTGGTTCCGGCTCCGGCCGGGGGCTCAGCAGCCTGTTCGCTGGGTGGAGCGCTGGTAGCCCACCCGGCATGCACATGAGCACAGGGCCGCTAGGCCTGTCTTGAAAGGAAAAAATGGGTTAACCAGACAGGTTGCAAGTGCAGTCCTCCCGGCCCCAGGGCACCCACAGCTGTGAGTGGGTTTGCTTTTTTTCCTGCCCCCTACCCTTCCAGCTCTCCCCACAGTTCCACTGATGAGCCACCTGCAGACTCATAAAGTCCCATTTGATGATGTAAAGGGGTCCAGTGGGTTGGCAGGGAGAAGGCAAGGAGCTTCTGGGATGCTGCCGCCTAGTTAAATCTAACCCCCGCGGGGCTCAGAGTTCCCCCCGCAGCTTTGGGAGTAGACCCTGTAGGGGGGCTCCCTGCGCTGTGAAAGCGCTAATGTACCTACTTCCAAGTGTACATTGGGGCTGGGATGCCCTGCCTCCTGGTGGTGCTTGCGAGGCACGGCTTCGACCTTGGATCTCAGCTGTGAAGTGGTAGGGTTCCCAATGAGTAATTGCTTAGTCCTTACCTGACATTTTCTGATTTTTAAAGTAAATGCATGTTCATGTGCAAATTTGGTGTGGGGCGAGCATTATTTCCATGTAAGCTCTTTCTGGCCAGTCCTCTAATCCCTGATAGAACATTTGAGCCCAAACTAAAATCATGGGTAATTGTTTCTCATTATTTTAAAAAATATCCTGTAAGGTTTTTTGGTTTTTTCCTTCCTTGCCTTTGACATCTGATTTGGAGCCCCAGAGGGGGGAACTGTGGGGCTGCCACTGGCTGAGGGGCCTGGGAGCGAGGGGTGGTGGGAGGCCTGGGTCCCTGCCCCTGCTTTGATCCCCGTCCCTCCCGAGGTATCATCTTAGAGCTGACGCTTGGCCTTCTGGAGTTTCAGCCCAGCCTCTGTGAAGTGAAGAGGTAGAAGAAATGGATTCTGAGATCCCTTCTGACCAGCAGCAGAGCTTTATTTTTTCCATTTATACTGAAAGCATCTCAGTTAATTTTCTGTCAGTCTATGTCAAGCATAATACTTGCAGCCCCTGTGCCCGGGAGTCCCAGTCTTGGGAGGGGGCTCTCATCACGTTTGCACCATGACCAGGGCTCAAACACCCCTTTGTCCCCTCTGTAGGGACCGTATTACAGTTCACCCTGAGCTGACCTGTTCCGCCGCCCAGGCACCCATTTGCCCTGTCACGTGGGCTTCATGAGCCTCCTGAAGCACTGTTGCGCGGCTTCAGTTCTTCTCTCGCGAGGCATTCACCTGTATTTGTTTTTCTCCCCAGACTTTACACATAGGAAGTTCACACCTGGCCCCACCGAATCCAGACAAGCAGTTCCTCATCTCTCCGCCCGCCTCTCCGCCAGTTGGCTGGAAACAAGTGGAAGATGCTACTCCTGTCATAAATTATGACCTTTTATATGCTATCTCCAAGCTGGGGCCAGGTAAGCTGTGCCCTCTGGTGGGGGAGAGTAAATGCGATCAGCTGAGGGCCCCAGACTCAGTGCTCACCGCAGCGGGGAGCAGCACGCAGTACCCCATCCATCTGTGCAAGCGTGTTTTGTAAATTGCCTCTCTTTGCGTCCTTCTATCTCACTGGAATTCATGCTGGGAGTGGGCATGCCTGCCTCTGGCCTCATTCCTCATGAAGGGGAGCAAGAGGGACTGTGGCTGGTCCTGGGGACCTGAATCCTTCCCCTCACCCACTGAGTACATCCCGCCTGAGTGGCTCAAGACCCAGCCGGGGTTCTGTGGCTCCAAGTGGGGATGAAAACCACTGGAGTTTGGAAGGGCCCTGCCCCCTTTAGGTATTTCATTTTTGCTCAGGGTAATTTTTTCCATCAAGATCAATTCTCACCTGCCCTTTCAAACGTTCAAGGGAACAGAGAACCATAGAGTATAGTGGAGGAAGATCCTCCCTAGTCATGCATGGCCCCCTCCTGGCCCCATAGGGGTGCTCCCCTCCAGAGCTGGCCAGAGAAAGAAGGGGTGCCATACTATGAAGGGATGAAGTGAGAATTTAGGGAGACAGCTACTAGGGCCTCAGCCCCCTCCATCAAATGGGTATTGCCCTGTAAAGTTGTGAGCAGTAGTTGAGGTCATGTGCAGGAAGCTCCTCAGATGGTGCCTGGCTCATAGGCAGCACGCAGTACAGTTTTTTTGGAGACAGTAAAGTGCTGGTGGTTCCCATCTGCTGATAGGGTTTGGATAACCAGGCAGACGCACAATGTGTCCTGGGATAAAAGCTTTGAGCCCACCCTCCCGCTCGATCCGTGGAGCAAATGCAGTAAATGCTGAGACCATCAGGCCCCTCCTTCTCCTTGGCCAGCAATCTGATGTTCCTATGGTTGAGGGTGTGATTTTCTTGGACCATTGGAAGTTTCATATTGAGAAGATTACATTTCTGAAAACATTGCTTCAGTGGAAATTCCCTCAGTGAGAGAAAGCAAGACTCACATTACTTACTGCTAATCATGGCATGAAGGTCAAGCTGGAAATGGCCAGTTTGAGGAAGGCGTACTCCTCCCTGCAGCCCCTGACCGAGGTGTACTAGCAAAGCTGAGGGCTGGAGTCCGCTGGGATGTTAGACAAGGGAGGAAACAGGATCCCCACCAGGGGAAAGGTGTCAGACTGCTCCAGAGGCAAGAAGTGCCACTAAGAAATTCTTCAAGGAGACAGAGATTTGCAAGGTACATCCTGTGACCCTCCACCTTCCTTCTCTCCCTGAGATACTGGGGCTGTTTCACCTTTTCAAACACAGTTGCAATACCATTCCAGTCTCAAGGGCGAGGTAAGAAAAGGCAGCCACCTTTTTATGAGTAAAAGCACCTTAGGGTTCCAAGCCCCCAAAGCAGCGTGAGGCAGAAGCCCTGCTTAGCCGCTCCTGCCCAGTGGAAATCAGCTGGAAGAGCACAGGAACTTGGAGGGAAACCAGCCCGGCCCAGGGGTGGAGTCAGCTGAAGCAAACCCTCCTGCCTGTTTAAAATCCCCAGTATTTCTCCAACCCCCAGCTTTCCACCTGTTACAATTCATTCTGTTTTTAGACATAATAAAACTAGTTACCGGGCATGTGCACCGAGTGTTTTGCTCACATTCCCTCAGGTGAACAGCTTTGTGAGGTCAGTGCCCTTATTGTCCCATTTAGAGAGGACACTGAGGCAGCGAGGCCAAGGAGCACCCACACTAAGGGGCACCACCCGCAGCCCAGGAGGTACCTCACCACCCCCCTTGGCCTCCTCTGTAGCCAAACCTGCTCTTCCGTTACCGAAAGCCTTGCAGGACCTGAACTTGACTGAACCTGGTAAAACCCAGGCTGACAAAGCGCGGCAGGATGTTCACACTCCCCAGGGGTTGATAGTTACTGTATGAGAAAGGATGCTGTGGCCAAAATGGTTTGGAGTACCTGGCTCAGGCAGCCACCCTGTGTCCTTGTGCCTTCTGTCCCCCCGGGGTTCCTGTGAGGCTCAGGAGGGAGGCTCACGTTGTCCTTTGCTAACACACTGATTTGTGCAATGTCTTTTCCTGAACCCATGCTCCTCGCACCATGCTGGTGTGTCCTCTGGGTATTTTCACTGTCCTGGTGGATGTATTAAGTGTAATTAAAAAATACATTCCTTCTGTACCATTCATATGCCTGAACTCAAACGTCTGACTGAAAGCAGAATGATATACAGTGGTGATTATATATATAATGTTTTTTCCTGAACAAGCCACCAGAGAAATACCAGTCCAGAGCATATCTGATGTGTCCCTCAGTCCCCACTGAGTGCCCACAGAAGCATGGCCAGGCCAACCCCTGCATGCTGGCATGCATTTTTCATTTACTCTTGTGTTTTTGGCTCTCAGGTTGCTGCCCGAGTTACCCTGAAATCATTTTCTTTCCCCAGGGGAAAAGTATGAATTGCATGCAGCCACTGACACCACTCCCAGTGTGGTGGTCCACGTCTGTGAGAGCGACCAGGAGAATGAGGAAGAAGACGAGATGGAAAGAATGAAGAGACCCAAACCAAAAATCATCCAGACCAGAAGGCCGGAGTACACGCCCATCCACTTAAGCTGAACTGGCCCCTGGACAAAGAAGTATTTCAAATCATACTCACGGAGAGGAATCTTTTACTGTGGAAGTGGCCAGTCACAACTTTGGAGGTGGCAGCCATGATCGCTGTGTCAGAAATTCCAGTTCATGTTGCTCAGGAGAGAATCAAGGTTCTAATGCTGTGCATCAGTCAGTGTCCATGGCTCTCAGGAATGTCCGGGGCCAATCTCTGAGTTTAGGGTGATCACACAAGGGCATTTGGGAATGTCTTGAGAAAACCGATAATGATAGTGAGTGTTTTGTACTTGTTCTTTTCTGGTAGGTTCTGTTTCACCAAGGGCAGGTTGACAGTGGGTATGGGAGAGCTTCTTTTTCAATCAAGCCTACAGGGTAGACTGTCTACTGGTAGGAAAAGGCATCGCTAAAGCCACAATGTATTTGGTGCAGAAAAGTTGTGGAAACAGCAATGCAATGTGGAAATTGTAGTGTTTCATTTCTTCCCCTCATTGTCTAATGTTCGTGCATGTATATTACTGATTTTCAGAACTAACCTTTGTTGGTGTATAGAGTTAGGCCACTGTTGTTTTACATCTTTTGGGAAGAGAGGAACGCATTTGAAAAACCTATCACCTTTCCAGTTCATGACTCTGTTTGCAGCAGCACTCAATGTGTGGAATTCTACCTGGAATACACTCACTCAGCATCTTACCCAATGCAACATACAACTTGTGCTTTTGCAAAAGAAGTGGACCTGAAATTCCTATGGAGAGTTTCACTTATAAAATTCAGAAAATAGCAGTTTCACTGCCAACTTTTAGTGGGTGAGAAATTTTCATTGAGGCGTTTGGAATCAGACATTGGTTTCATTGATTTCTTTGACATGGTGGTTTATACACATGTACGGTAGCCAAAAACTTTTTTTGGCAACTGTCAGTTGAGATAGTTCATTTTTTTACCCCTCTAAAGCATCCAGATAAACTTGTAAATAAAGTTGATAGCGTATATGTTCTTACCTGTTGTACATGTGGGTGAAATATATGGCCATGGAAGAATAGTGTAAAATGTAATTGTATGTTGTAGAAAATGCTGTTAAAACATTTGCCAGGACTTGAATTCAAAGCATGTGAGGTGGGTGGTAGATGTGCAGTGAGTGATGTGAGAGGGATGCAGTGCCTTTCCACATTAATTCCTGATGGAATCGTTAACACTAGATTAATGTTTGTGATTTTTTTTCTAGCTGTTAATGTGTATGTCTGGTAAATAGCTATTATATTTTGGCCTTAACCACAGCACCATAACAAAAATCTGTTGTTTCAAAATACCTAATGGCAAGTAACAGTGCATGCTCTGGAAGCTGGGGAGATGGTTTTCTTTAAGAAGCAAATACCTTTGGTTGTTCCTATCAAGAAACGGACTGAGTGTTCTCAAAACCCTGTTTACAGTATCCACGTAGGCAGGGGCAGGTGCGGGAGAGCCCATTGCATAGCTGTTCAAGTGTTCCTAGTTAAGTGCTTTTAAACTGGAGAGGCTAACCTCAAAATATTTTTTTTAACTGTATTCTATAATAAATCGACACAATATGCTCTTTACGGGAAAGTTATCTGGTTGTTATTTTATTTCTAGTCATCAGTCTGTGAACCCCTTAGTTCTGCAGTCTCAGAAGGACACGTTCCTTCATCAGTTTTAGTTTAGAGACTCCTTTGCTAAGACTCACAGAGAGTCAACCACACTGACAGGACCTCACTTAGTACAGGGGAAAATGGATAACACTGAAAACACAAGTCTGAGTTTTTCCTGTCTAGAGAGCTGATAGGATGAAAACCCTATTCACCAGCAGCTCCACCAAATGATGTTTTTGATCATTAATTTGAGGAGTGTTCTTTCCTGTTAGAAAAAATGTCCATGGAAGATACTAAGTTACAAAGGCTGGTTATGTTCAGAGAGTCTGTCTCTAGTCCAAGCCTTCTGTTTGAATCTCAGACAGCCTGGTGTCTACTACAAATGGTGGTGAGCTTCCTGCAGGTAGACTGTCTACTGGTAGGAAAAGGCATCGCTAAAGCCACAATGTATTTGGTGCAGAAAAGTTGTGGAAACAGCAATGCAATGTGGAAATTGTAGTGTTTCATTTCTTCCCCTCATTGTCTAATGTTCGTGCATGTATATTACTGATTTTCAGAACTAACCTTTGTTGGTGTATAGAGTTAGGCCACTGTTGTTTTACATCTTTTGGGAAGAGAGGAACGCATTTGAAAAACCTATCACCTTTCCAGTTCATGACTCTGTTTGCAGCAGCACTCAATGTGTGGAATTCTACCTGGAATACACTCACTCAGCATCTTACCCAATGCAACATACAACTTGTGCTTTTGCAAAAGAAGTGGACCTGAAATTCCTATGGAGAGTTTCACTTATAAAATTCAGAAAATAGCAGTTTCACTGCCAACTTTTAGTGGGTGAGAAATTTTCATTGAGGCGTTTGGAATCAGACATTGGTTTCATTGATTTCTTTGACATGGTGGTTTATACACATGTACGGTAGCCAAAAACTTTTTTTGGCAACTGTCAGTTGAGATAGTTCATTTTTTTACCCCTCTAAAGCATCCAGATAAACTTGTAAATAAAGTTGATAGCGTATATGTTCTTACCTGTTGTACATGTGGGTGAAATATATGGCCATGGAAGAATAGTGTAAAATGTAATTGTATGTTGTAGAAAATGCTGTTAAAACATTTGCCAGGACTTGAATTCAAAGCATGTGAGGTGGGTGGTAGATGTGCAGTGAGTGATGTGAGAGGGATGCAGTGCCTTTCCACATTAATTCCTGATGGAATCGTTAACACTAGATTAATGTTTGTGATTTTTTTTCTAGCTGTTAATGTGTATGTCTGGTAAATAGCTATTATATTTTGGCCTTAACCACAGCACCATAACAAAAATCTGTTGTTTCAAAATACCTAATGGCAAGTAACAGTGCATGCTCTGGAAGCTGGGGAGATGGTTTTCTTTAAGAAGCAAATACCTTTGGTTGTTCCTATCAAGAAACGGACTGAGTGTTCTCAAAACCCTGTTTACAGTATCCACGTAGGCAGGGGCAGGTGCGGGAGAGCCCATTGCATAGCTGTTCAAGTGTTCCTAGTTAAGTGCTTTTAAACTGGAGAGGCTAACCTCAAAATATTTTTTTTAACTGTATTCTATAATAAATCGACACAATATGCTCTTTACGGGAAAGTTATCTGGTTGTTATTTTATTTCTAGTCATCAGTCTGTGAACCCCTTAGTTCTGCAGTCTCAGAAGGACACGTTCCTTCATCAGTTTTAGTTTAGAGACTCCTTTGCTAAGACTCACAGAGAGTCAACCACACTGACAGGACCTCACTTAGTACAGGGGAAAATGGATAACACTGAAAACACAAGTCTGAGTTTTTCCTGTCTAGAGAGCTGATAGGATGAAAACCCTATTCACCAGCAGCTCCACCAAATGATGTTTTTGATCATTAATTTGAGGAGTGTTCTTTCCTGTTAGAAAAAATGTCCATGGAAGATACTAAGTTACAAAGGCTGGTTATGTTCAGAGAGTCTGTCTCTAGTCCAAGCCTTCTGTTTGAATCTCAGACAGCCTGGTGTCTACTACAAATGGTGGTGAGCTTCCTGCACCAGCCCACAAGGGCCTAAATAACCCAGGATCTTACTGAATGCAAAAAATGTCATTAATCTTGATCAAGATGAACACTAGGCATTTTTCCATGAAGAGTCATATGCTCCTTTGTTTCTTTTATGAATAGTCTCATCCTGTCTCTTCCCAAGAGCATTTATATATTTCAAAACCATATATATTTGAGGTTTAAACACATTGAAAAAATCCACATTTCAGTCAGGTTGGTCCAGTCTAATTATTGTGCAGATTCACTATATGACCACCTGGCAGAGGGGTAAGGGGCAGCAGGGCCTGTCATTCTGAATAGCTGGGAGCCCACCGATGATCAGAGGTGGGTTGCAAAGTGTGCCAGCCCCGGATCCTATTAATAAGTTACCCTGGAATAAAATTGAAATGTGTTGTCAGTTAACTCAGACTTCCAGTGGGTCCCCTTACACAATGTGGGAAATAGAAGTGGATGGTCCCACTGCCTATGAAACCAACAGACCCTAGAAATCACAAGGTAGTGAATATCCTCACTCATGTCCAACGATGTCTGATGAGCAGTCCTGTGGCAAGTATGTGAGGCAGCCGCAGCTGAAATTCTGAAGCCAATAGTGCATATAATTGCTGGTTACCAGTCTGATGGATAATGAAGGGCCCCGAATGATGAGTCTGCCCAGGACTCATGTTTCTTTGTCTGACCCTGCTAGTGGGAAGGCTCAGTAATATGCAAAACAACAGATACCAAACAAGCAGAATCATGCAGAACACCCTTGGCCAGTAATGGAATGTGTTCCTTCAGTGGATTTTGAGAGAATATGTTTCTGATCTGATGGTAAGTAGCTTAGACCACCCAAGAAAAGAAAAGCAGCCCCCTCGAAATATATGCTAAGTCCAACTGAAGGGTGGTAAATGAGAAGCATAGCATTTTATGCAGCTATTAATACTCAGGTTATGAACATTTGATTTGCAGTCAGCAAGCATTTAGGATTTTACATTTCCAGAATGTTGTGTAAATTAGGGCCCACAGGAGGTCTGAGTTTTCAGGGAGCTTTAATTTTAGATGAAATGTACAGAATTCACTAAAAATAAATCGATTTTATGAAATATCAAGCTGCTAAGGATTAAATATATTATATGGACATGTTACGGCCAAAAATGAATCAGCAGCTGGGTCTATCATACTCTACCAGCATTTGCAGAGACTATGGAACATCTGCCTCAATATATTGGGCACCTATCCAGTAACATTCATCTGAAGGTCAACAATTCAGATGGAAACTATGTAAATAATTTACCTTAAAACTATTGGGGTAGAAGTTAGAATGTACATAAGAAATGTGTTCTTTCTTCCCCAATTCTCTGCTTTTCTGACTCTAATGTAGGACATGTAGGGAATTTTTTTACGTGCACTGCCACTCTTGGCAATCTTTACTTCACATCTGAAATTCTCACTCTTGTGACACACCAGAAGTTACATGGCAATCAGGTAGATGGATTTTATCCTCACATACCTCATTTTCCTCAGCACTGCCTGCTGATCGTGAAAGGTCATTTTAATCATGGCTATGCTTATGAAAGGCAAAAGGAAATTATTTGCAAGTGAAGGAGGGGTGGTGCCTACATTCACTTCTTTTTTTTCAAGATTCTTATTAGAGATTCAATGACCATTCTATACACAGAAATAAAAGCCAAGTGGTGGCTATAGCTGCTGCTCGTAGCTCCCTCTGTCAAGGCCATCAGGGCTGACGTTCATACTCGGGTCATGTGAAACTGTCAGTGTTTCTAATTCGCCATGTCGTCTCCTCTCTATGTGCACTATTCTGTATGTTCCCTTTGCCAAGAACGTTATTCCACTGCCCCAGTCCAGCCCAGGCCAACTCCACAGCAATGTGCACCCGCTTAGAGCAGGCCCATGTCTGTCCTACTCTGTCTGAATCACCAGCAGCTGCCATCACTGTATCCAGCCTGCAGCTCTCAGTAGGTATCACTGAAATATTAACTGATTCATTGACGGTTATCCTGCAGGTCTGTATCATTAATGTCTCTTCCCCTGAGAACCATTCCCAGCTATGCCTACTAAGTTTCCCATTGTGTCCCATGCTTCTCTGTTATGATATTATTGCTTTTTTAGCATAATTGTTAAATTGTCTTCCCTGTTAGAGAATAGGTCAAGTAGAGGTGGGATCCTGGTAGCCTAGTCAGTCAATAAAATTGAATGAATGGATGGATAGATGGATGGATGGATGGATGATGTATGAATAGGTGGGCAGGTGGACCAGGTGGATGGTTGGATGGATAGGTGGATGGATGGATGGGTAAATGGATGTAGGGGTGGGGATTTCAGAGGCAGAGGAGTGAGAAGTTACTGAGAAAGAACAGAAAAATAATAAGGCACATGTCCTTCTTCCTAGTCAGTAGAGTCAATAAGCAACTCAGTGCTTTAATCCAATAAACTGCCAGGCTACCAGAGCAACAAGAATGAAAGAAAAAGAGAAAGAGACATGATTGTGTTGGGGTAGGAGGGTGGAGAAGAGAAGAACAAAAACTTTGTTTTCATATTTTCTTCTCAAAGCAGAGTGGCCAGCTAGAGGGCATGGACTGGGGAAAGCATGAAAGAACTTTCCAGGGTGATGGAAATGTCCTGTGTCTTAACTGAATGACACAGTAATAGTGGCAGTAATGACACAGTGATAGTAAAATAAGTATACATTTGCCCAAACTCATGAAAGCACATACACTGAAAATGGGTGCATTTGGTTATATGTAAAGTATGCCTCAATAAAGTCAACATTTTTTTAAAAATCAGGATAAAGGAAAAAATCAAATCTTGGACAATGGGCAAGAGTTGGGAGGAGGCCTTAATTCTCATTATATCCTAGTGAAAACATTTCTCGAGTGTACAACACTCTAATAACATTCTTAAACACAGTATTATACAGGGAGACAAAGCAGTAACCCAAATTGGAGTGTGAACATTCTAATTAAGCTTTTCTAGAAGACAACAATATGTTCATGAGAATTTATTAACTTTAAAAATCAACTTGGATCTCATTTATTTCCTTAAAGCTTGATATATGACTAATTTTTCCATATTTTCAGAAACAACACATTGCTACTTCAAGAATAATATACATCCACATCCAATCAGTGGTAAATGCAAAATGCACTGTAGCATGTCTTTAATGTCAACCCACACTTTTGTGAGGCCTCAGGCAGGGATGGCGTATTGGACCGGGAATACACACTTGCAGTGATGCACTTGAAATGAATGAACTATTGGAGAAACATAAAAACCCACTTTCTGCAAGGTTAATTTATGTCCGAATCTCCTAAAACATTTTTCCTGAAAATTATACAAAATGTGCATCATTCAGTTTCTTACAAAAATAGAAAAGACTTAAGCACCATGAATGCTGAAGAAATAACTTTTAAAGGCTGTATAGGATCATCAGTCACCATTATAAATAGTGGCTTACATCAATTATGCATGTTTATGCCTTCTAAATTCTAGTTTTCTCATGGTGTTCTATTATAAGCTCAATTGCCAAATAACTTCTTTTAACTGAGTTAAATTCATGATTTTTATAAGGTAAAAATAGGCCCACTTTTGGTCTTTCTAGCAAGTCTCATGTGAAAAAGCAAAAAAATTGGCTTTGTAGAGGTACTAGTAAGTGAGGATGTGGAAATTATATTAAATAATCAAGAATGGAGGGCCATCACAGAGATTAGATTGTGTATGGCATGATATCCCTGGTTTTTCTTAACATATTGTACACCCGTGAGTGCATCAGCGTGAAGTGCTACCATGGAAATAAATGTGATGAGAAACAAGGGGCTTGCAGCCTTCCGTACATCACCCGGGGTTGCTGCCTGGTGCCTTTGCTAGTCCGGGGAACAAGGGAACCTGGGCCCTGAGGAAGCGAAGGGGACCGCTGCCATTTGGGAAAGAGATCACTTGGGAAGGAAAAGAATAAATCTGGGCTGAACTGCCTGCTGATCTCAGAAGGTGGGTGCCTGAGCCAGATTTCTTTTTACCTTGTGCTCATGTGTTTGTTTTGTTTCATTTTTCATTCATTCAGACAAAATATGCAAAACTTTTAATCTTACTTTTCCCACAGGTCACTTAAGCCTATCCTGTCTCAAATGTTTCTTGTCCCCATCAGCGGCAACACCATTCCAGCCCAGCTGATATGACTCTGGGGTCATCCCTGACCATCGTCTTCTCCTCACTCCTCACATTGAGATGAGATCACCTTGGGTTATCCAAGTGGGCCCTGAAACAGTCACAGGGGGCCTTGGAAGAGGGAAGTAGAGAGAGTCTTAACTACAAAAGAGACTGGGATGCTCTGCTACTGGCTTTGAAGATGGAGGAAGGGGCCATGAGCCGAGGGATGCAAGGAACACAGCTCTGGAAGCTGGAATAGACAAGAAGAAGAATGCTCCTCCAGCCCCCAGCGGGAACACAGCTTTGCTGACAACTCGGCTTCAGCCCAGGGTATCTGATTTCAGATGCTGGCCTCCAGAACTGAAAGGGAATCACTGTGGACTGTAGGAAACCACCAAGTGTGATTCATTACAGCAACAGGAGGAAG